TCTGTCAGTTATTAGCAAAGAATTCATGTTTTCTTCCACTTTATATTCATTTAGAAAGTTAGCCAGAAATAATTTCCTTTGAAGAGAAATTGTCATTATTTGACAACAACAGTAAGCAGCAATCTAAAAGCAGGAAATCACACTGTTTCAGTAACAGTTTCCGAATTAAAAATGTGTGCAACATTGTTATTAGACTCCAATATACTGCTCCAGTATACTAAAAAAGGTAAAGACGTGCATGACTTTAAAATAGGATGCCTGATATAAAAATCTGAACTACCTGAGGAATTGAGAAGGAAGGCGGAGAGAGCATTCCTTGGAGAGAAAGGTGGTGAAGGGCTGGCCAACCAGGACTGCGGAGCCCGCGGGGCTGTTTCTAATTCTGACGGTCCCTCCCCTTCCCTGGCCTCCCCTCCCCCAGAGTCTAATCAAAGGATTAGCCTACAGGTTTGGAAACAACAGCAGCTTGAGTTGAAGGCTCCCCCAACCAACACACACACACACACACCCTCTTGTGTTTAATGCAGGAACTAGAGAAGTCTCTGACTAACTGGACTCAGAACTTGCAAGAACTTCACACCATGAAGGGCGACTTAACCCGGCACATTCTCTCGGAGGACGTGATGGTTTTGAAGGAGCAGATAGAGCATTTGCACAGACAATGGGAGGACCTCTGCCTCAGAGTAAGTCAGTCAACTGCAGGGTACGGCTGCTTGGGAGTTGATCGGAATGTCCTGAAGGCCAGACAAAGTAGAAAGGAGGTTAATTTTCATTGAACGAGAGGCCCTTTTTCTGCGGGTCCCCTGGCCGGCTGCTGTTCCTTTAGAAGGCAGCAGCAGGGTTTAACAGATTTGACCCTTTTGTTTCAGCAGACTAAATGCTGCAAGTTTGCTCACTGTTGAAGAGTTTTGTTTTGGTTTTTTAAATCACCTTAAGCAGGGAGAATTGCAGCCATGAGCAGATGTGCGGCCTCTGCTCTCTGCTTGGTGTCCCAGCACTTCTAATTTGGTGTATTAGAAGAGGTCTTACTGCAGTGTCCCTTCTGGGCCTAACAGGGGAGTCTCACCTAGTGTCTGCAGGCATGGGAGTGTTCATTGGAGAACTCTGCATTCACAAGCCATCGCAGATTTCTTTCAAGGAGTTAGTTTTTTTAAACTCTCTAAAAGAAGTGTAACCAAAAGCTTGGTCCCTGTCCCCAATGCCAATCAATACCAATTTAATGAGGACACGGTTTTGAGAAAAAGGAAAAAAGGTTTATTGCTTTGCTAGCAAAGAAGAAACACAGGGGACTCTTGTCCCAAAGGCTGTGGCACAGGGTCCTTTTAAAGGAACTCTTCAAAGGTTCCATTCCAGGTGTGCTCTGGTAGGGGGTCCCAGGGCGCCCTGTTGGCCTGTTAAGATTTACTTGTTAATTTGGGAGATATTCACTTCCCAGATCCACCGCTGGCATCTCCTTCCTCTAATAGGTGTGTTCAAAGGAAATTAAGTAGAGGAAAGAAAGGGTAACACTGTCTCCCCAATATTGTTAGGGAGGGGGAGAGAGGAGAAGAGAGAAAAAAAAACATTAAAAAAAAGAAATCTTAGAACAATGAGGGCTATATTCAGAGGTGAAGGGGCCACTGTTACAGAAGTGGCCAACTGCTGTTCTGTCTCCCAGGGGCCCCCCTTCTACTTATCAGGAAGGGAGTGGACTGTCGTTGGGGTTGTACAGTTTACCAGTGTGACAGGAATGGGGTTAAAGTGTTCAAACAGCCTTTAAAGATCTTTGTTTTAAGAACATGTAATTCTAAGGAAAAGAAAATCTTTAATCTCATTTGTTTGTGAATTAAATATCAAAAACTCCTTGATTTTAGTGTTTGATAATCACAATGTGCCCTAATTTCAAATGTTCTTGTAAGTTGTTGTTTTTGTTTTTTTTTTTAATTTAGGTTTTCTGTAAAAGAATGTTTAGAATATGTGAAAAGTATTTGAAAAGTTAGACACAAAGACTGGGGTCCAGATGTTCTTAATTGTTACCATTATGAAGTCAATCGGGACACTGTTCAAAATGCCAAGAGTTTTAAAAGCTAAGATAAATAGATGCCCCGAGGAATGGAAACCAAAAGCTTGCTTTTTTAAAGTGTAGATTTTCAAGCCTTTTTAACAGGTTAGTCTGGGTAGGATGTCCAGCATTTGGTATTTTTGCCTCCCTCTGTCTAAAAAGAGCAGGGGGTTATTTTTGTACATAGTAAGAAAACCCCAGAGAGTTCAACCTTCATTTCCTGGTCTATAAAGCAAAGTGTTAAAACTTTGCTAAAAGATCTTAGCTATCTCCTTTTAACTCTTAAGATTTTAAAGATTTTTTTGAAGACCTAAAAAAGAAATACTTCTGACCATTTAATGAAGCTAATTTTCATTATCTAAATGTAAATTTATTTAGATAATAAATTTCAGTGTAAGGAGAAGGACCTTTTGCTGATGTCAGTTTAGGGGCCACTTAATCATAATGGAGCAGTGGCTGTTGGGAGGTCAGCCTGTGGCAAACCAGTTTTTGGTGATATTTCCATGGTTTCCATCCCAAAACTACAGTGTATAATGGAACGGTGGATTAAATGAATGACGTGCACCGTTCTGTGTGTTGTTTTGCTTTGTTTAAACATTTCGGGGACTGCAATTTTTCTGGTCCATTTGCATTACAGATGTGTAATTTATATCATGATCTGGATTATAATTAATTTTCAAATTAAATAGGACATTGGCCTTATAGGCATAAGGACTTGATCCGTTTTTTAGAAGGAAAGGATTTGAGTCATAAAGTTACAATTTAGCTATAGTAAGTAGTTAATAAATGCATATTGAAAAATAGGAAACAGTGGAAATCGGGTGATGCTTAAGATATTTATCTAACTTTTCTGATTTCTAATTTTTCATATAACCTGATAATAATAGAGAGGCATTGCATATAGCTTAATCCTTTCAGTCAGGTGCAATGCAGTATTTGGTTACTTTAGTTATTAAAGGTATAAAACACTTCTGTTGCTGTTAAACTCTAGGTTTTAAAAGGAAGAAATAGATTTAAGTGTGTAGAGATGCTGATTAGAAGGAATGACATTCATAGTCCTTTCAATGAGAGAGAGCAGGAGGGGTTTCCTGGCTCTCCTCAGCTGCCAGATGCATTTTTATACTCAGGTGGCTACACGCAAACAGGAGATTGAAGACAGACTCAATTCATGGATCGTGTTCAATGAAAAAAATAAAGAGTTGTGTGCGTGGCTGGTCCAGATGGAAAACAAGGTTCTACAGACAGCAGATATTAGCATTGAAGAAATGATTGAAAAGTTGCAGAAGGTAAGTAAGCAGGGGTGCCCAGGTGGGTGCGGTTATGATGACCTTGGACTGCTCTGCCCTCCTGATGCCAGGCTCAGAGAGGTAAAATGTATTAGGGTGTGTTTCCAGGAACATTTTTTTTTTTTTTTAATCCTTTGGAGGGAAAAGTCGACAGAAAGATTCCAGAGAGATGGGAGTGTGAGACCATCATAGGTGGACATGGTACTGAGGGGAGTTGCTTGCCCTTGGTTAGGAAGTTTGGCCAGAGAAGGAGCTCTCCAGCATCCTTCAGGCCCTAAACCAGGGCTGGTTTCTCAGGGGGTTTTGGAGGTTGTTTTGTTTTGCTGCAATACTGGGGATGGAACCCAGGACCTCACTCATGCTAGATAAGCGCTCTCCCATTGAGCCACACCCCCAGCCCTCTCCAGAGGTTATTATAAGGTGATCACCTTGCCAAAGGGGAGAACCAACAGCAGTGAAGCCCATGATTTTGAAATGATCACTAATCCCCACAGAGCAACCCGAGGGACTATTGAATTGACAAACTAACTGCTGCTTTATATATTTCGCATTTGCCTGGTGGGCCGGGTTTGTTTTTAGCCTTTCACAGCTGAGTTGTGTTAACAGGCCTGAGAATTTTTTGATTTTTTAAAAGGATTGTAAGCAGCAACTGTGTGTTTACGACTGGAGCAGAAATGAGTTTGCAGGGATAATGCAGACTTTTTTGGTGCCTTTGCCAGGACTGCATGGAAGAAATAAACTTGTTCAGTGAAAACAAGTTACAGCTAAAGCAGATGGGCGACCAGTTGATCAAGGCCAGCAGCAAGACAAGAGCAGCTGAGATCGATGACAAGCTCAACAAAATCAACGATCGATGGCAACATCTTTTTGATGTTATTGGATCAAGGTGAGAATGGCTTAAAAAGGTTCAGGGGTTACTTCAAAGAGCTGGAAAACTGGATGCCATCTTCCTCTAAGGTAATCTAGCAGATTTATAAACGTACAGATTGACATTTGGTAAGAATGAGTAGAAATTCCAGTTTCAGCATTAAAAGAAAGTGATTTTAGTAAACTTTCACTTAAATTAGATCAATTTTATTTTACCTGTTCTTTTTTCTTGGTAGGGAGGGGTATAGAGATTGAGTTCAGCAGGTGCACTCAACCACTGAGCCATATCCCCAGCCCTTTTTTTGTAGTTTATTTAGCGACCGGGTCTCACTGAGTGGCTTAGAGCCTTGCCTTTGCTGAGGCTGGCTTTGAACTCACAATCCTCCTGCCTCAGTCTCCAAGCTGCTGGGATTATAGGCATGCACCACCATGCCTGGCTATTT